GACGACGAGCTGTTGCTGTTGCTGCTGCTGCTGCTGCTGCTGCTGTTGCTGCTGCTGCTGCTGCTGCTGCTGCCGCTTGTGCTGATATGTCTCTTGCTGCCGTTCGTCGTCACTGCAACAGCAGCAGCAGCAACACATTGTCTATTCATGTGATGCAGCAATTCGTTTAAAGAGCAGCAGCAACAGCAGCAGCAGCAGCACGAACAGCAGCAACACCAGAAGCAATGCAGCAACAGCAACAGCAGCATTAGCAGCTACACCAGCAGCAGCAAAAACAGCACTAGCAGCTAGAGCAGCAGAAAACGCAGCAGTAGCAGCTGCAGCAACATCAAAAGCAGCAGCAGCTGCAGCACCATCAGCGACAGTAACAAAAGGAGGGTAAAGGGGGCCTTTATAGGCACAGGTGAGCAGCGTGCAGCAGCAGCAGCAGCAGCAGCAAAGCAGCAGCAGCACAGCAGCATGTCAGTGAAAGAGGCTTACTTGTTTTTAATTCTGGTGTACATGCAGCTCCTCCTGCGTACATCCGGGTGTATGCAGCCCAGGACGCAGCCTTGTGCTCCTCGTGCAGCAGCTGCTGCTGCTGCTGTTGCTGCTGCTGCTGCTGCCGCGCCTGTGCATCATACTTTTGCAGATGCTGCTGTTGCTGCAGCAGCAGCAGCTGCTGCTGTTGCTGCAGGTGCTGTTGCTGTCTTGTGGCTGCGTAGTTTGCTCCCAAGCAGCACTTTGCTGCCTCCGTGAAGACAGCAGCTTCTGATTTTGCGTACAGTTCTGCATTTGCTGCTGCATTTGCTGCTGCTGTTGCTGCTGCAGTTGCTGCTGCATTTGCTGCTGCAGCAGGTGCTGCAGCAGGAGAGGGCCTGCACGCTGCTGTGCTATCCAACGAAGCAATCAGAGCATCTGCTGGCGTAGGGAGCATATTTGCTGCTGTTTGTGCTGCTGTTGCTGCTGCACTTGGTGCTGCAGTTGCTGCTGTTGCTGCTGCAGGCATGCAGCGGCTTCTGTTTGTGCTGCCTCTTGGGGGCCCTACCGTGGGGCCCCAGCCTCCCTTGAGGTCATCATCCATCCTATACCTCGCTGTTGCTGCTGCTGCTGCTGCAGCAACAGCAGCAGCAGCGGCAGCAGCAGCTACGTCTGCTGTCGGCAGCAGCAGCAAAAGCCTCTGTCATCCATCTGCGTATTATTGTATAAAGAAGAAGTATAAATTTATTTTTAAACAAGCGGAAAGATAAGATGTTGAGGGGCCCCTTCTGCAGCAAATAATATTTGTTAATACTAGACAGAAAGCCTGCTGCTGCTGCTGCTGCTCCTGCTGCTGCTGCTCCTGCTGCTGCTGCTCTTGCTGCTGCTCCGGCTACTGCAGCAGCAAGAATGTTGCTCGCTTAGGGTCACCTGCAGCTCCGACGTTTGAGGTGTATATACACCTAAAATTATGTGTTAAGTCTTTCTATTGACTTGGTTTTAATATTTATATTTAATTAAAGTTTCAGAAGGAAGAAAAAGAGTAGGAAAAAATAGAGAAAAATGAAAACGAACAAGGGCTGCTGCTGCCGCTGCTGCTGCTGCTGCTGCTTCTGCTGCTGCTGCTGCTGCTGCCAGCCACCATAGAGGGGGCCCCACATGTAGAACATTTTTTTATTGCATTTTCATAGTGTTTAATAATTATTTAAAATATTTTGTTTTATTGTTTTATAACTAAAATATAATTATAATAAAATACTGCAGACGCAAACAGCTGACAGACAAAGACTAGCAGCACCGCTAGCGCTTTATAAACAAAATATTTGTTTTACTGTATAAAAAAAAAAAGATTTATTTATCTGTTTTTGTTTGTTCGTTCTCCTTATAGATGGCCTGCTGCATGCAACATACCCGTTGCATGCATCTACAGGGCACCCACACGACCTACACTATATATAATATATATAGTATATATATACATATATGTATATATATGTGTGTATATATATGCATATATATATATATAGGGCGCAGAGTACATATATATATGTAGGCACTCTGTTTATATATGCATGCATATATATATATATATATATGCGTAGGCAGAGTATATATATATAGACAATGTATCAACTTATATATGTATATATATATAATGTATATGCGTAGAGAGAAAATATATATGTATATATATACATATATAAAATATATATATACAGAGTGAGAGAATATATGTATATATATATATATATATATTCATATGCATATTATATGCGTATATATATAATGTATATATTATATATATTATGCTCCACGCTTCACCTGGCAGTCGCATGCGTCCTAACATTAATTAATGCGGCCTCTGTGAAGGGCTTTTAGCGTTTTTCTACGTTTATTATTAAATTAATAATGTGCAGTAATAATACTTCAGAGAAAGATAAACATATTGATTTAAATTATAAGAAGAATATAATATTTTATTTTATTTGATAATATTACTTCCATCCATTTACCGTACTCCTAAACTATCAAAAAAATAACAAAGTAATGCATATAAATATAAATATTATATATAATATACATTTACGCATATGTATTTATATATATATATATATGTATATGTATATATATATATATATATATATATATATATGTACAGAGAGAAAGAAAGAAGAAAAGAAGCAAGAGAGTTGAGACAAAAATAAAGCAAAGAGCAGATTATCTCCCCGCTATTTTTGATGCTTCTTGTGCACCGAAGCTCAGCTTTGTAGGGCTGATGAAGGGAAGAGACATCTTTCAGTGATTGTTATCTCAGTTTGCTGCAGCTGCTGCTGTATATTTTAAACTGATATGCAAGCTCTAGCGGGTCTCCCGTTAACGCATGCATTAATCATGCGTTTCATGCTACTGAAGAAGAAGTAGTTGACCCTACTTCTTCTTCAGTAGTAATTAATGCATGAGGAGACAATCTTCATGCAAGGAGAATATATAGACATAACTACTTCAGAGACAGTTTGCTGCACTTGTCTCTATTTCTCTCGCCTAGTAGGATACGCCCTCGTGCCGGGGCTGTAGCAACGTCATCCATGCGTTCTACAGCAGCAGCAGCAGCAGCAGCACGAACGGTAGCAGCAAGAGCCGCTTCATTTGCTGCAGCAAGGAATGCCACAGCAAGATATGCAGCAATGCTGGTCACTCAGCAGGGGATAGATGGAGCAGGAGGAGGGGCTCTGCAGCACTTGCTGCTGCTACTGCAGCAAGTAGTGTTTCTAGTGCTGCACGGGTTCCTTTTGCTACATATCTTGCTGCTGCACTCCTTGCCGCAGCAAGTGAAGCTGTTCTTGCTGCTACCGTTTGTGCTGTTGCTGCTGTTGCTGCTGCTGTCGAACGCATGCATGACGGTGCTATAGCCCTGGCAATACATTGGTTTGTAACGCCAACTTATCCTTAGCGCGGAGCTATCTATCTCCATTGCACTGCATGCATGCATGCATGCATGCATGCATGCAAGGGTGATAGCTGCATGCATGCATGCATGCAACGGTGATAGCTGCATGCATGCATGCATGCATGTAGAGAACGACAGCAACGTCATTGCGAGAAGGCCAACAGGAGAATAGAGACGCTGTGCACGTGCAGCAGACACAAAACTTGCAGAGACACCAGAAAACAAGAAGATAAGAATACGGCAGGAGACAAATACAGTAAAGTTTGTTTCTATGAAGCCATCCTTCAGAAGAGTATGCTTGTCTCTTCCTGTTCGATACGACGCCAGAGGAAGCAAGCATCTGCCTATACACCCCAGCTTAATTCTAGCATATTTACCTCCTTTGTAGGCAGTTGCTGCAATAACAGCAAACATAAATTTAAATTAAATAGCAGACAGACACTCAAAAAGAGTGTACACCCCAAAGGAATTGTGCGAAGCAGTTCTACACGCTTAGCGACGCCCCCGCCTCGAGACACCGATGGCTAAAGACATGCGAGCCAACAGCGCAGCCTAAAGCTGTTCGATATATATATATATATATATGTATATGTATCTATGTATATATATATATATATGTATGCATGTATAAATAAACAAATATATATATATATATGTGTGTGTATGAATAAACACGTACACAAATATATATATATATATAGATGTATATAGATGTATATGTATAAATCTATATATATATATGCATTTATATGTGCATTTATATGTGCATTTATAATTATATATACATACATGTGTAAATGTACAAATACATATATATATATACATATATATACATATATATATATACTTTGGGGTAGAGAGAGCATAATATTGTAAAGGTATTTACACGCTCTCCAGCGCAAATGATATTCTCCTTCTCTGATCAACTCCTCTCCCTCTGTTAATATGTAAGTTGAAGGAGCCGCTTTAAAAACTTTTATGCGTTTGTATAAACAGGTTGGTGTCTCCTTCGTACTCGCTGTCTCCTCTCACTTATGCTGCTGTTGAGTGAGAGAAGGAGACAGCCAGTGCTGTTAAACGCCCGCCGCTGTCTCTATCTTTTTTATTTTTTTGTTGTTCAGGTGTCTGCAATAGAAAGAGGCGGCAGCAGCACGGGAAGCATAAAGAGCAGAAAAATAATGTATTGAAAGACCGGCAAGCAGCAACGTCAGGCGCACAGCAGCAGCAGCAGCAGCAGCAGCAGCAGCAACCGCAACAATACAGCTTCTGCGGCAGATGCAGCAACACCAACGACAGCAACAAGATATGCAGCAGAAGGAAATGCTGGAGCTGTAGAAACAACACTTGCTGCAGCGGCAGCAACTGCTGCAGCACATGCTGCACAAAATGCTGCAGCAGCAACTGCTGCAACAAATGCTGCACAAAATGCTGCAGCAGGAGCAACTGCTGAAGCAAATGCTGCAGAAAATGCTGCAGCAGCTCTCTTCCTGTTCCAGCCATCTCTTGGCTGGCGCTCAGCAGACGCACGAGGGCATTTGCTGCTAGAGGAGGGTAAGGGGGGTACAGGTGTGTTGCATGCTGTCTCCGAAGATGTATTGATATATATATATATACATATATATAAATATATATAAATATATATGAATACTTGCATGCAGAGAGGCTGCTGAGGGCTGTCTGGGTGGTGCACAATTGCCAGCAGTATTAATTAATGCTTCAGAGTTGCAGCTTGGAGACAGCAGGGGAGACGCCTTCCCGGTGTCTCCTCTCTTCATCAGCCTGAGACAGCTGTGTCTCCATGCACTGAAGGACTAGATGTTGAAAGTAGTTAATTTGTTTGTGCTTTACTTCTTACCTCATGTGTCTTAGGGTTTGAAGTTATAGGTGAACAGAAGTCTACACATCATGTAAGAGCCGCCTACAATACAGCAGCTCGTTCATATTGCTGCAGGGGGAGATGCGGGCTTGAAAGTGTTTGATCTGTCTCCTTGTTGAGGTGTATAGGGAGACAGCAGGATTGTCTATGAAGGTATGAAAGGCCTACACTGCTTTATTTTCGCTGTCTTTGTCTGCATAGGAAGGAGGGATAAACTGCTAGCAATGAAGCACTTCTGAGTGAAGGAGAGGGTGAGACATTTGATATAAAAAGATATATTAATATATATTTATAATACAAAACAAAAAGGGCTTAGAAAGAATGTATATAAACACTTGATGTGGCTGTGTATATACATAAGACAGCTGGTGTAGACAGCGCAGAGTGTATAGCCAGTGAAGAGGCGTCTAGCATGTTTGAAAATAAATAATATGCATGCACTTTATTAAAAAGTAATTAATTATTTATTTATTTATTTTTATTTATTTATATTGCTGCTTATAAGGGCCTCAACACTCCTCAGGCATCTCTCTGACTAGACAGCAGGGGGGTGTATACATACCCCCTCCTTGTATTTGATTTAGCTCGTTTGTCTGCAGAAAAAGATTATTTTTTTGATAAAAAGGGTTTATTTTAATAAATGAATATATTAATAATATATTTAAAAGAATTTAGCGAGAAAAAAGAAACAAAACAAACCCTCTTTGCTGCATCTACTGCATACATACACCATACATAACGGTGCGCAGGCCTCCACTGCTGCGCCCTCCCCTCCTCTCGTGTAGACGTAGATGACTATGTTTGTTTGTTTGTACTCATTTAAATAAATATATTTTCTTTATTATTCTATTTTGTTGGGGTTTATTCATTTGTCTGCTCCCTTGTCTTTCTTCATCTCGCCTCCAGCAACCTACTTCCCTGCCCTGTCGCCTCCTGCAGCAGCAGCAGCAGCAGCAGCAGCAGCAGCAGCAACAGCAGCAGCAACATAAAACTATCACAATGGCGCCAAAGAAAGTAGCAGCAGCAAAGACAGCAAAGACACAAAAGAGAGGTAGAGCAAAGAAAGACCCTGATGCTCCTAAGCGTGGGACCCCTGCATATATATTTTTTATGAAGGAGAAGCGCGAGGAGATCTGTAAGAAGAACCCGTCTATTAAATCTGCTACTCAGATAGCAGCACTTGTAGGTGAAGAGTGGAAGAAGCTTACACCTTCTCAGAAGGCCCCTTATGAGAAGAAAGCTGAAGCAGATAAGCTGCGTTATCAGAAGGAGGTTGCTGCTTATAAAAAGAATAAGGCAGGTCAATAGATCCTGTACTCAACCATGTTGCAGCAACAACAGCAGCAGCAGCACCAGCAGCAATAACTGCAGCAGCAGTATTTACACCTAGCATTCATTATTGCCTCTAATACTCTTTGCTGCAGCAATTCTGGGCGTACAGCAGCACAGAATGCTCGTGCTGCTGTTGCTGCTCTAGCATACCGTCATCATCATAGTAGCAGCAGCAACAGCAGCAGCTGAGGCAAACCAATGTACACATAGAGGCAGCTGCAGCATTCTCTGCTGCAACAGCAGTACAACAACCCCACCCCCTCCACCAGCAACCAATTCGCGGCTGCAGCAGCAGCTGCTGCTGCTGCGTCTCCTTGTTTGCGTCTGTATGCGTTTGTCGGCAGTAATCAACAACAGCAGCAGCAGCAGCAGCAGCAGCACATTGTTCTTCTCTGGGGCCTCAGCATATCATTATGCATGCATGTTTGTGTTGCTGCTGATGATTAATAAAGATAAATTAGAAGCAGCAGCAGCAGCCTCCGCTGCTACTGGTGCTGTGCTTCACTAGTCTTGCTGCTCTTCGTCTGTACAGGCAGCAAACTTGCTTTAAGTGGGTTTGCTGCAGCAGCAAGGAAGCCGCAGCAGCAGCAGATGAGGTGTATGCATACATGCATGCATGCATATATGGATATGCTTAGGAGGTTGTTTGTTTATTTATGTCTCTCTGTATATTTTGTTTGCTTTCTTCTTCATCTCTTCATCTGCACACTTGCAGCAAATTACTGCTAGGCGTTCTGTCTTTTAGTTATATATTAATTAAACTGTAACAGAGAGGGAGCTTTAATATTATTAATTATTATTATTATTTATTTGCTGGCTGCATCTTCAGGTGTACATACACCTCAACTTGCAGACAGACAGACGACTGTCGTTTCTAACAAACCGTACAATTCTTCTTGGCGTCGCCCGTTGTATTTGCTGCTGCTGCTGCTGTTCTTGCTGCTGTTGCTGCTGCTGCTGTATTTGCTGCCGTCGGCGCTCTTGCAGCTGTAGTTCTTGCTGCTGCTGCAGCAGCAGCATTAAGCAGTTCTTTCTGCTGCTGCTGCAGTTAGTAAAGATGTTATTAGGGGTAGTACTGGGGTAGAGAGAGACGTATAGTTAGCATATTAATTAGCTAGTTAGCTAAAGAACAAGCAGCTAGCTGCTGCTGGGTGCAGCAGCGGCTCTTTTGGAGTGTACAGGCAGGTGTTAATGCATGCATGCGGTGTATATACACTGCAGAGATAAACGGTTTCTCTAAGACTTTATCTCTCCGCTCGTCTACTCAGCTAGCTAGCAATTGCTAACTATTATACAGTTAGCTAGCTAGCTACAGCAAGCCAGCACCAGCTAGCTAGCATAGTACCCATCCCCAGGTCCAGCTAGCTAGCTAGCTACAGCTAGCTATATACAGCTAGCTAGCGATTATACGGTTAGCTAGCTAGCTAGCTAGATAGCACCTGCTAGCTAGCGATTGTACGGCTAGCTAGCTAGATGGCACCTGCTAGCTAGCGATTGTACTGCTAGCTAGCTAGATAGCACCTGCTAGCTAGCGATTGTACTGCTAGCTAGCTAGATAGCTAGCTAGCTAGCTAGCGGTCGGTAAGGGTATGGTGTTGTTAGGAATGGGGGTAAGGTGGAGGGGGTGCAGCAAATATGCATCAGCAAAAACAACAGCAACAAACTCTCCTTCGCCTAGCAGCTGCAGCAAAGCGGTGCTGCTGCTGCTGTCTGCTGCAGCAACGATGCCGCGCTGCCCTCGCAGAGGAGTCGAACCCAGAACCACAACCTGCAGCAGCAGCAGCAACAGCAGCAGCAACAGCAGCAACAGGAGGTGTTGGAGCAAGGCAGCAGAGTTGCATGTTTGCTGCTGCAGTTTAAATGCACTTACTTCGTATCCAAGTAGAAGGGCCTCAGCTTTCTGCCCGCTGCTGCTGCTCTGCTGCAGCAGCAGCAGCAGCAAATGCTGCAGGGTTAAGGGCAGGACCCCGCTGCTGCCCCCCAGCTTTAAAACCCTCGGCAGCAAAGGAGAGAGAAGTACAGCAGCAAATAGAGTCTCCTTGCATGCGCCTTGTCGCTTCTTAACTCCATGCTGCTGCTGCTGCTGCTGCTGCTGCTGCTGCTGCTGCTGCTGCTGCTGCTGCTGCTGCTTCTGTTGCTGTAGCTGCTGCGGCTGCAGAGTTATTTGCTGCTGCTCCTCTTGATGTTGAGGTGTCTCCTGCTGCTGCTGCGGCAGCGGGATTTGCTGCTGCTGCTGCTGCTGCTGCTGCTGCTGCACGGGGCACAGCTCTAGCAGCAACTTGCTGAAGCCTCCTATTTCTTTTGTCTGTTGCTGCTGCACACCAACAATAAAACTCTGCAGCAAACACAAACAAAAACAAAACTGCAAGGGTTTAGATTCCTAAAGTCTATGCTGTATGGTTTAGGGTTTAGGGTTTAGGGTTTAAGGTTTAAGGCCTAGGGTTTAAGGTTTAGGGTTTAGGGTTTAAGGTGTAGGATGCAGGGTATAAGGTTTAGGGTGTAGGGTTTAGGGCTGAGGGCGTAAGGTTTAGGATTTAGGGTTTAGGGTTTAGGCTCTAGGGTTTATGGTCTAGGGTTTAGGCTCTAGGGTTTAGGGTTTAGGGTTTAGGGTTTAGGGCGCCTTGTTTTGTGTTTTCTCACCACTGTCAAAACCCCATCTCCGTCGTTCTCTTCATTACTACCAGCAGCATCAGCATCAGCAGCAGCAGCAGCAGGTGCAGCAGCAGCAGCAGGTGCAACAACAGCAGCAGGTGCAGCAGCAAGAGAAGCAGATGAATGATTGTCGTTATGGAGGTGCCGTTGAAGCTGCATGCCTCCCAACTTGCTGCTGCTGCTGCTGTTGCTGCTGCTGCTGTTGCTGCTGCTGCTGCTGCTGCTGCTGCTGCTGCAGTGCGCAACAAGAATGCCTGGAGAAACCCACGGAGGGAGAGGAGCTGCGATTGGCTGAAGTATAATTCTGTCGGCAGCAAACAGAAACCCTAAACCCTAAACCCTAAACCCTAAACAGCAATAAACCCTAAACCCTTAACAAAAATCAATTAACAGTTAACACAGCATGCAGCTGCGCTGATTCACTCATACACATATATACATCTACTGCAGGCTTCTTAGGGTTTAGGGTTTAGGGTTTAGGGTTTGCGATAGCAGCTACTGCATGCATGCACGCAGTAGCTGCTCTGCGAGTGCTTGAAGAAGGAGAATAAAGAGACTGCGAGGCTGCGCACATGAAGGACCCTAAGCCCTTAACCCTAAACCCTAAACCCTAAACCCTAAACCCTAAACCCTAAACCCTAAACCCTAACCTGCAGCAGCAACGCGGCTCTCTCGACTCGTTAGGCCCTCTCCTTGCATTGGTGCATCCTGATGTTGTGCATGCAGAGGCGTGCATTTGCTGCTGCTGCTGTTGCTGCTGCAGCTGCTGTTGCTGCTGCTGCTGCTGCTGCTGCTGCTGCAGCTTGCAGCAGCAGTTGAGGCGTGCTGGGGTTTTATGTTTTTTTGTTTTTTGCGTTTTGTGTTTTTTGAAGTTGTTTATTTGTAATGTTTGTCTGCTGTATATGCACTGCGATGAGGTGCAGATACACCTGAAAAAAGCCACAAACTGCTGCTGCAGCTGCTGCTGCTGCTGCTGCTGCTGCTTCTACTGCTGCTGCTGCACTGCATGCACTTTGCATGCGTCTTTCTAATACTACGCCAGTTGTATAACTGCATGCAAGTGGATTTGTTCGTAACAACCCCCTACTACAATAAACATATATATATATATATATATATATATTCATACTTTATAGGTGTATACATACATAAAGTATATATTTACATGCATGTACATATAAATAGTAATGCGTATATATATGCATGTAGTAATATACATATATGTATATATATATATTATGTATATGTACGATTGTTTTAGTTGTGTGTGGTGCATAGCACTAATGCGGGTCTCTAGACAGAGCAGCAGCAGCAGCAGCAGCAGCAGCAGCAACTCAGCGGTAGCTGCTAGCTGTTTGTGTGTGGATGCTGTTGCTGTTGCTGTTGCTGTTGCTGCTGCTGCTACTACTGCTGCTGTTGTTGTTGCTGCTGCAGCGACTCCTGGAGGCCTTTGCAGAG